ATTAAAGTAATATTTCTTAAGAAATACATTTTTATATAGTATGAGCATAATACTCCAATCGACAATTTAGAACTTCGGATAATTAACGAAAGCCACTTCAATTTATCATTGGGAGTGTTTTACACAGTAATGTGTTCTTATATGGAAAATTATGTAGGATTGTTCTCAATGTCTGTCATTTACGCAAGCTCTTTGAACAGAATATAAAAGCTGAGCAGTCAGTAACATTATCTGTAGGTGTAAAACATTTAATAACTTCTCATCTTACCCGGGAAATCGTAAGAACAGAACTCTACAAAAATGAGTAGTTTTTCTAGTTAACACGTCATCAAGTGGAAGATATCCAGGTTAAACAGCTTATCAAAGTAAATTTTATTAATAATTGCCATACATGCATGATTAACTTTATTTTCACAATAAAGCAGCAAATTAGTTTCAGAAGTTTTTAGTTATCAATATTACAAATGGAAAACACTGTTCACGTCATTATTGCAAAGGAATTGTGGGTTCAGCTGCTTAAAATGGAGTTTTTATTTTATAACTAGAAAATTTCTAAAGATTTTTTTTACGCTTATGAACAGAGTACTTAATTTCTCAATTAGATCAAATTCTTTGGAGATGTCCTTAAGTACCATATTTATTGACTTATTTATAGGTATTACAAAAGGAATGTCCTTACGTACTATATTTATTGACTTATTTATAGGTATTACAAAGAGATGAAAAACACAACCTTCTTTTAGAAAATCAAACCATCGATAATCTACAAACTTATTAGGATATCCTGATAAATAATTATGCAAGTAAGCCACCGGATAAAAGACTATTTTTAAATGTTCGAAATAAGAAGTTTGTGCCTAGGAAGTTGCATTTAACCAGCGATATCGAAGTTTCTCTAGAGGGGAGTAGTCACAGTCGGCGAAAATCTGTTGACAGTGAGGATGTTCGGTAGTATTTCGTAAGTAAACGCTGTAGCTATGTAGACTCGGGGTGACGGAGCTGAGGAAATAACAAATTTGTTATGAGAATAGAAAATCTCACTCGAGTATTTTATAAATATATAAAACATTTATAGTAAACCCTGAACTTTTAGTAGGATACAGATATTGGTACTTACGCTGCTAATCCAATGAATCTGGTAACAATAGGATAATCGTTAGCCATGTATTCTCCCAGTTCGCAGACAGCTCGGTTCTGACACTGTGGTTCCGGAATCTCTAAATACTGGAAGGACGATTCAGTAAGGTCTAAAGATTCAAGAGCACGCATCATCCGCCCGACATCCATCTCTGCAACAGTTGACTTCAGAGAACGAAAGAGAGGGATTGTAGGAGACAGGCCTAGAGACAATGGAATGGCATAGAGACTTGGGAACAGCCATGATGCTACGGTAAATATGAGATATATTATACCATACGCTATACCAACGTACTGGATCCCTGACCAAATGGTGGTGAGATGACTAAGCACAGTAGCCCCAACAGTAGATGCAATAGCTGCCCATTTGACTTCACTTAGTATGGCGAGACCTTTTGTGACGAGGTCAGCGGTCCTTGCTAGTCGATTGATGTCCAATTCTTTAGGTTTTCTTGATGCGGTCTTACTAGAGACTGACAAGGCTATTGAAAGTGAATAAAGCGTATAAACGATCTCACAAAACAAGATTACCTTTTAGATAAATATTTAACTTTTTTTTTAATAATAACTAGAGAATATTATGTATTTTAAAAGTATGTTGTTTGCAATTAGTGATAAACGATTTGCTTACCTAATGAGTTAACCATGCAGACTACTACTATGCAAGTCAAAAGATAAATTCTTCCGGAAGTCAGCATCGTGCTATATAATACTGTCGTCAAGAGTAACTAACTCCTTACTATCAATTTTCTTTGCGATGTGAAATAATGAATCTTTTCGAACTGTTTTTATACTAGCCGGATTGAAAATGGTGACGTAAGTCTTCGCTTCTCTAATTGGCTAACAACTTTTCCTTTTTTTCCAAGAAATAAGGTAAAGTTGAAAACAATACTTATTGGTCAGTAGAATGTAGAAGTGGGTTAGTTGTTAATTGTGATTGCGTAAGTTAAGATGAAAACGAGGTCAACTGGACAGAAGAGTCTGACCATACTCCCCATGTACTTGTCTATTACGTCCTGTCTCTCTGTTATAGTCTTGCTTTGTTTCTTCCAACAAACAGATCCTGTTTCACAGCAGGACGGTTCTCTGAACTGACACATTTACGTTACACAGTTAAGTGGCTGGAAGATCAGAGTTTAGAAATCTGCTCAAAGCCATTTATACATCAAAATAACACCTATTTCAGGGCGTGTTTTTCTCCGTTCATTTTCTTCTTTCAAAGACAATAAATAATCTTTACGTTAAAATGTTTTATAGCTAAACATTATCCCTGTAACAAAGAAAAATAATCATTTTAGGTGTAAAAATGAAATTTTTAACAAAGAAATAAAGTTATCAGACGTCGTAACTTGTTGGGCGCCCTTGTACAAATTAATAATATGCGTGAAATGGTCTTACAACGACGTTGTCTAAATACTTCAGTATTCATACATAGAGAGAAACAACGCTGTTATAGCTTTGGATAAAATTCAGTGACCTGCTCGAAATATTTTACGGTTAATCATGTACAGAGTAGATTATTTTACGGAAAATCATGTACATAGTAGATTATTTTACGGTTAATCATGTACAAAGTAGATTATTTTACGGTTAATCATGTACAGAGTAGATTATTTTACGGTTAATCATGTACAAAGTAGATTATTTTACGGTTAATCATGTACAGAGTAGATTATTTTACGGTTAATCATGTACAGAGTAGATTATTTTACGGTTAATCATGTACAGAGTAGATTATTTTACGGTTAATCATGTACAGAGTAGATTATTTTACGGTTAATCATGTACAGAGTAGATTATGTTAATCATGTACAGAGTAGATAGCGTGGCTCCTAGGTTAGCATTCTGTACTATAGATTTGAAAAAAAAATGTTCTGGACCTTAGGTCTGTGTGTGCGTTATAAGGTTAGCGGTCAAATCTCGCCATTCGGAAAACCTTATTTTATTTTATATTCTTTATTTATTAATTTATTGTTAATTAAAAAAACTCCCCCACGATAATTCAAAATTTCCCTTTCGTTAGGTGCCACTTATTCTTAACTCACGCAGTGGGAGGAAGAGAAACTGAAATTTCTGATCACCCCTGATTATATTTCAGTCCCCTTCGGGGAATGAAATATATATTAACTTAAATTCCCACTATGGATCACGCGACCGCTATTCTGTCAGACAAGAGTAGATCAAGATGGTCGGTATATGTTACTGAATGAACGTCTTACCTCTAGTAGCTTTGCAATAATATCCGAAAACAAACTAACAAAACCAAATGTATTTGAACAACTTTCAATAGTATGTTCTCTCCTGTGTCTTTCAAACTTCCTAAAGGACAAGTTTATATCCTACAGAGTTATTCAGCAATCAGCCACTTTATTCTGAAATAATTTGGTATAACAAACGTTATTTTGTAGATTTTAGTTTTGTGTTACTTAACTGAATATGCATATTTGTTTCAGAATTTTCCTGCAGAGCTCAACAAAAGGTTATTTGTACATAGCAGATCTAATTTTGAAATTTTAGACTAGAAGAAAGGCAGCTAGTCAACATACGTCGCCAACTGTTGGGTTTCTCTTGTCCGACTGAATTTGGAGATTTGCGTCACCGAGACACAAGCAATGGAGCCTCCGATTCACACTCCAGCACAGTAACGACCCGTTGTGAAAATGGTCACCAACCTTTATTTAATACCTCCATTGCATTCTTTTCTTCTACCACTGTTAGATTTGTTTTTTGAGCACGGATGACAAACTTTGATTAATAATATCGTACTAGTTTCCTATAATCTAGATTATAACGAATACATTACAAAAGTTTGATTTATTTAGCGTTTTACTATATTTGAATACTTAAAGTCGATTTCTTGAATATCAGTGAAATCAACGAGTAGATTCGAGTTGACTCAAAAGTATTCAATTGTGGTTTGTATAGGTGTAAGTAATTATTGAATTGAAATTTCGTTGAATTTTTGTTTCTTCAAAGTAAGATTGTTTCATGTTTAAATTATTTGTATTTCTTTCGTCCTGTTTCGGTTTATCACATTGATTGTTAGTATGGAGTAAGGAAGAGTATAAAACGGCTATAAATATATAAAAAAGTAGCATTGTTTCATGTTCAAATTATCTGTATTTGTTTCGTCCTGTTTCGGTTTATCACATTGATTGTTAGTATGGAGTAAGGAAGAGTATAAAAGGCAGCTATAAATATATAAAAAAGTAGCATTGTTTCATGTTCAAATTATCTGTATTTGTTTCGTCCTGTTTCGGTGTATTGCAAAGTTGTATTGAGAAAGAATAAACTAGTTTTATTTAAGAAAGGAATTGAAATTAACAAACGACCAGAGACGTAACAATATATTGAACGCTTTTTTATTAACCATAACATTTATTTCAAAATCCGTTACAACTGAAAAGTTACATATTGAAACATTGTTCCTTACAATACCACGAGCTGTAAATAGTAAAATTATCTTCTGATATATCTGCAAGTTTTCTCTCTCTGTGTAGTAGATTAATAACACAGGCCTGTGATGGTTTTATTGTTTTGAAATTTTTACGTTCTACAGCAGTTCCTGTACGCTGAATCCGAAAATGATATCCATTTTTTTCAGAAAACGTCCTAATGCAATACATAAAAGAAAGACCACAAAACATAGTTTTGAGACTAAAACACGTATATTCCACACACACAAAAGCAGTATGAATGAGGATGCATTTCGTTTGATATCAATGTTCGTTCCTTTTCTTCAGCTTGTTTGTATTTTTGTTAAAAAAAAATATAAAAAATTTCCACTGTGGTAAAAAAAATAATAATTTGATCTAAATAAGAGTTTTTTTCTTCCCGATTTGTAAAAACAGAAAAAAAAAGAATATTATTTTCGAAATCTGTGTATCTGAATTATGGAAAATCCGTTATTAAAACCAAAACAACTTTTATGACGTTTAAATTCGCAGGCCTGTGTAATTTGTGTATTTACATAACTTTTATGGATAAACTAGATTGATCTTGCGAGCTGTATAGGCATTCCATATTATAAACTGTGGTAAAAAAACACCTAATATGGCCTGGTGGTAAGATAGCTCAACTCGCATTTTGCGGAGCGCGAGTTTGAACATGCTCGACCTTTTCGCCATGGGGGCATTATTATATGACAGTCATTTCCACTTTTCGTTGGTACAAGAATGGCCCAAGAGTTGTGGTAGGGGGTGTTGACTAGCTGTTTGTCTATAACTTCTAAATTATGGATGAATAATACAGATAACCCTCGTGTAGCTGTGCACCGAATTCAAAACAAATAAACAAACGGCCAATAACTTGGTCAGCTCTTCGTTAAGCCGGAAGGTAACTAAGCAGGAAATAAGACCTTTTCATAAATGAATTAAGGTCAACTGGTTGCTGTACACTTGGCGTGAAGACATCTGTCAATTTATTTTGTCCCTAGGGGCTATCTCTATATTAGTAATGGAAAGTATCCGGGTTTCTTTTCTAATTTCTTAATCTGTTTCTTACCTTCTCACCTGCTTTGTTAACTGACGCGTCAAATACAAAAACAACACAATATATAGATGTTATTATCTTCATGTAACAATCGTTTTTTCTTTAATTTTTCTTAAGGCGTGTATAGAAACGTATTAATACTAAATGACCTTTCGAAACAGAATTATGAAGTCACGTAATTGATAATTTACATTGTATGAAATATTTATCTCGAAATTGGTCTGATTGATTTTTAGACATAGATAAAGTTGATATTCATTATAATTATTTTAAGTAGTTTTCTAACTTAAGACACTTATATAGTTACGTTATTATTGCAATTAACTAATAAAACTTAAATATAAATCAAGCAATATTCTTAATGCAAGCCTTTATATTTTTTTTCATGCAAAAATTAAATTTTTCATTTTGTTATTATCAGTTTAGCACAGATAGCCCATTGTGTAGCTTTGTGCTCAATTACAAACAAGTATCAGTTTAAAATACAATGAAATGTAAACTATTGTTTATAACAGAGAAACAGTGGAAAGGGTTATTTTTTTATACTTTATTTAACTGAATTTTGATTACAAAAAATAAAAAATCATGAAATAAATAGTGACGATGAAATACAGAATGGACTAGTAGAATACAATAAAACACGAACATGTGCTTAAGTGACATAATAAATGTTACGATGGTCATTAATAAAATAATTTCTTCCAAGGCGAATTGGGACACGTGGGGAAAAAGGAGCCACAGGAAGGATTTCTAGGTGGGTGAAACAAAAGGTCGGAGTACTTGGCCAAAGCCGGAATTCTGGATCTGAAATATTAGTAAAATATGTAGTTAGTCAGGTAGAAATTGTTACGAAAGAAATTTATTCTTGTAAGTAAAAAAATACAGTGCATTATTTTGCTTATTCCCTTTAGTGAAAAAGCCGATAATTAAAAATATACTACGGAACCAGGACTTGAACTCCTAGCTAATAAGGTCAAAGCTCTACCACTGACCTATCTATCCAAGAGTACAGGATGGAATCTATTTTTACACATCTACTTTTTTTGTTGAATAATTAATTATTACTGTGTTTTATTATTATTCACCTCAAAATTGTTACATTTACAACAGTAAACCTGATTGTTGTATACGTCAGTAGTTAAAAGCTGAATTAATTGATAGCAGGCTTAAACAGAATCATATGAAACAAGTTTTAGTTATTTTGAAAGCAAATGCACCTACTTAATCGAGTTCGCACCGTGACATTTGTCAAATAATTGCTAATATAATTAGTGTCTCAACCACTACTACGTCTGTCGTATCCCAGCTGACTCGATGAACCCTGGTATTGGACGAAAGGCCTCGCCGGCACTTGGTTTAGCAGATACAAGTGTAGTTGGCATATTATTAGTAACAATTACAACCATATCAAAAATTGAATGATACCAGTTGTGATAAACGTAGATGAATCATAAATAAAAGATATATAATGTTAGTGCCTTTCAGGATAGACTTCCTGTCAATATGTAGCTACATCTATTTAGCAAATATCAAATAGGGAACACTAGTCTTATTTACATTTTAGATACGACTACCAAGTTGAATTTTTTATATTGCTAAAGTTTATAAAAGTTATTTCGCAATGGATCAGCGATGCATTCCCTTAGATACAACGCTAAACTCCGGGGTTCAGTTCTCCGTGGCGGACAGAGTACAGATAGCCCATTATGTAGCTTAGGGCGGATAAAACAACTACGAAAGCTCGTTAATCTCTTCTTACAAACATGCTCCTGGCTAGGAAGTAGTATCTTTTGACAGATAAAATGTATTTTCGAATATTAATATGTGAAAAACTTAACCCTAAGATTCCAACGGGGTCCATTGACCCCATCGGTTTTTAAACGACCTTTTCCAAATTGCTTGTTGGTCCATGACTTTACTGATTATAGAACCTGGAATATCACAAGAGTCACACACACACACACACACACATAAGCAAAAATACTTTCGATATTGAAATAATGCCCAATAATTAATTTAATCCTGGGATTTTATATAGAGAATGATGGATTTCTCCCCCTTTCCATCAGTCCTTTATACTGAGTGTTGTGACAAGCAAAAATATAAAATAACCCAATATGATGCAATAGATACATCTTAATGGTGGTATGGGGATGTAAGAAATTGCGTAATTTGATGGTAAAATACAAAAATAAATTGAACGTACTTGAACTTACTCTTACAAAAAAGTTAGATTATTGATGGAGTAGTGGTGGAGTAGTGGTGGCACTTACCCAAAGAATTGACCTATGGTGAAGAGTAAGGGGAATCTATTTACCAGGTACTCTCCGACTTCACAAACACCCCTTTTTTGACATTCTCTATCTTTGATGTTTAGGTACTGCATGATCTTCTCGATCACGTCGACGTCATTCATATTTCTGGTTATTTCGTACACGAAGTTATTCGCTGCTTCGCTGGAAGATCGGAAGACCGGAGTTTCGAGAAAACCAGGAGAGATCCAAGCAGCGATGATATAGATCACATATAAAATACCAATAGCAAAGGAAACAATCTTTAGGTATTTAGAGAGATTGCTAATTCCGTTAGCAAAGCTTTGAGCCAAGATCGGTAAAACTAAAGGTAGAAGGCTTCCCGTGGAAATAGCTTCTCCTGCTAAAATCCCAAGGTTGTAGTCCGCTGGATTCAGTAATTTAGGCTTACGATTGATCAGGGCCGTAGATTTTTCAACAGGCACAGCTGTAAAAAATAATAGAGCAATAAAAACAGTGAAGATAGCCAAACTTCATAAGCATCAAAGTAAACATTCTCTTAAGGATTTGAAAAAAAAACAAGTTTGGGATTTTAGATTAAGTAATTCACTGATAAAATTCAAACTGCATGAAACTCTGAAATTCCAAGTATGTCGCATAATTTATTGCTAAACATGCTATTCCATTCTTGTTTTTGTTATTACAAACTATTCCTCAGCTAAAAACGAATAAAACTTACCGGTAATAAAAACAGATGTAATCCAAAGAAGATAAAATAAAACCAAAGCTGTCCTTTTTAGTGTCATTTCAATATTGGTCTGTCTAGCGAGAACCTGTTGTAGATAAAAACTCTGTATAACAGAGGAAAATGATTTAGTCTTAGCAGAAGGAATTGAAGATTGACATTTTTTTATATGTCTTTTGTAATTTTTGTTAGCACTAACAATATTTTTAAGTTCATATTTGAGTTTTATTAATTAGTTGCCACACTGATATAACGACATAAGTGTCTTCAAGCTGGAGAAATCTTTTAAAAATAATAATAAGGAATATCAAGCCTAAAAATCAATTCGATAAGTTTAAACGGTATTTCAAGATAAATATTTCACATAAGTTGGGCAATTTAAATTATCCAATGGATAATGAATGAATGAATAACCGTTTCCAAATTGAAAAAATACATATTTATTCATACTTACATAGTATAAAACCCATAATGTAAATAAAATAAAATCGTTAATATCAGATTTACAATGTTTCATTATACGCGTTTCGAAGATCTTGAAAAAGAATATTAAAAATTATAGAGACGTTCTATCTCTTGAACCAGAACATAAAATTTAAGTGTATACAAACGCAAAGTAATTTCCACACCTCGAAAACCTTCTTTAGTGTTATGTAAAAACATTTCTCTGGTTTAATATTTACAAAGCATTTTACACACAACAACGTTGAATAAATCATTTAATTTTGATGCAGTGAAATGAAACTGAAATATCAACCTTCGTTGTTATAATTAATATATTATAAAATAAAAACATTTTCACGCATGAAGATATATTATAGAATAGATATCACAAACAATAATATGATATATACCTACTGTGAAGATACTTCAGTTACAGTACATGTTGCTTATGTGTCATTCCTCAGTTTTATAGTTTCTTCTCAGCTAATTGGCCAATGGTCAGTAGCTATTGAAGATGACTAACCGAACAAGTTATACCTGAATGGACTTCCTTTAGTTCCAGATTACAGGTCATGTGACTTTAGGTTATGAAAAACAAGGTCATTGGGTTTTATCGAAACCACTTAGGAAATTTGAAAGTACCTTGTCTATTGAAAAGAGGGTCAACAGGTCAAGGGTCATTTCCTTATTTTAGGAAATTCCCTGGATTTATAGATTATGAACTATATATTAGCATGTCTGAATTATAATCTAGAAACGTGGACGTTTTTGAAACATTCGTTCAAAAGTAATGAACAACATACACGAATGCAGACAGATAATTTGTTTTACCCACTGTGAGACTTGCATGGCTAAATGGTTAGGGCGCTCGCTTCTTAGTCTGAGGGTCGCGGTTTCGAATCCCCTTCCCACCAAAGATGCTCGCCCTTTCAACCGTGGGGGCGTTATAGTCAATCCCACTATTTGTTGGTAAAAGAGTAGCCTAAGAGTTGGCGGTGGGTGGTGATAACTAGCTGCCTTACCTATGTTTTATAGCTAAATTAGGGACGGCTAGCAGATAGCCCTCGTGTATCTTTGCGCGAAATATAAACAAAAACAATGTCCTCTGTTTTCATCGCGGTAAATCGAACCCTGGATTTAAGCGTTATAAGAACGTAAACTTACCAGTTGACTCACCCAACCGGATAAAAGCCACATGTCAGCTTGCCCTTCCTGATATGCAGTAATGTCAGAACGTTTTTACATTTACAAGGCGTTTGGAATTGTTTTATGAGGCACAATAAAATGCTTAATATATAACGCTTTTTTTATTATATGCTGTTAAGAAATTTACTGCAAAACTTGTCTTCAAAACAAAACAAAAATGCTTAATTTATTTGGCTTATCTCTGACCAGAAGGTTTTAATAATCTTAATGTGCACGTTATTTTGTTATGAATTAAATTAAAAAAGTATTCAACAAAGATTTAAAATACTACACATTAACAATCAAAGTTCTGATACACAGGGTGAAAACAAATCCTCAAATAAAGTACAAATATGTGATTCTAAGACCTTATGGGTGAAACTGTTGTAAAATTTTGTGAAAATCTATACGAGGACTATCTGCGCTAGCCGTCCCTAATTTTGAAGTGATAGACATAGAATAGAGAGAAGGCAGCTAGTCAACACTACTCTTTACCAACGAATAATGGAATTGATCGTAACATTATAACGCTCTCACGGATGAAAGGACGATCATTTTCGGTAAGGGATTCGAACCTTCGACCCGCATATTGCGAGTTAAGCTCGTTAACCACCAGGCTTATGAGTGAAAGCAAAGAAGGTGTGTAATAATATGTGAACTACAGTATGCCTATTATAACTAATAGTTAAGTGGAGAAATACATATATGTTCAGACAGAGCTTTGTTAAATAATTGCTGTATATTAAACTTAAATAATAGTTAGTTAACTGTTAGTTTGTAAAATATTAAGTATGAATATAGTATGTTGCTAGTTTGTAACAAAATATGATAAAAAATATTCCTTCTTCTCACTGGCTATCATTTACTCATTATAGACACAGACTTACGATTAGACCCATAACCTTATAGACATTGGCTACAGTTTAAACTTGCACTTCTACCTATTAATCAAAATAAGACCTATAAGTTTAATTTTTATTCTGAGAATGTGAAAAGGTCGACATGTTTTTCTTTTTCCTGAAAATTGTTAATCGTTAATGGTGTTATAATATATAATAGACGTCAATGGAGTTCGTTCTACATAGCAGCACGAAAGAAATGCAAACAATTGGAAGAAAGATAGCACTGTGGTTTAACTATAATGTAATTCATTTAAAAAAAAGCCAAGATAAAAACATCGAGTACTTTTTTGGAATATTTAATCAGTTTGTCAAGGCAGAAAAAGAAAAAAGCTAGAGCTTTGAAAACTGCAAACGAGAGAAATGTCATTATATTCATGTAATTATTAATTAAACACGGTACACCTACTAGCTAAGAGAATCTCCTAAGTGGTATACTGCTGTTATTACCACCTTGTGTTATATTCATAGTTCATACTGGGTTAAGCACAATAAAGGTTCCACTAGACAAAATGTGGGGGTTTGGGTTATTGAAACAAATCATTCAACATATAACAATGGACTATTTGGTGTTTTTAAAGGCTGTCCTCGCACATCCATCATTTAGGAGAGCAAAAACTAAAACCCACTCTTTATATTCGGGAAATCATCAATTCTCCTCTTAAACTCCAGTAAAGAGCTGGCTTCCACTACTGCCGACAGCAGCTAATTCCATAAATGAATCATCTGAAAAAATGGAAGTATAGGTCATTAAAATCAGTTTTTTTCTCATATTATTTGCTATGTGTGTGAATTTCGTTTGGATATTATCCGATTAGTGGTAGTAGGTCAATTTCAAGGCCTAGTTCATTCTCGAGGTCACAGGGTCAAACAAGATAAAGCATACTGTCGTAGGGAAAAAGGGAGGGCTTCGCCTGTTTCCTTGTTAACACAAAATCATCTTAACTCTTTTTTTTGCGTTTAAGTCTTACAAATACGAGTAAAGCAACCATTAGTCAACAATCTAAATAATACAGTTTTAAAGCAACCATTAGTCAACAATCTAAATAATACAACTAATGGTTGCTTTAAAACTAACTGATCTAAATAATACAGTTTTAAGGTCAAATGTAAGCTCGAAACTTAACAAAAATATTTATCATTAAAACATCAAAGTAGAATATCACAGTTATAATAAGTTTTAAATTTATTTTAACAAATAATCACTTATAAATGTGTTTCTTTTGCCCTAATATGTGAGAGTAAAACATGAAGCATTTGTAATTATACATCAAAATATATGTTATATGAGCTGCTCAGATTTTAATTGATGTTTTAAAGCAGGAGTGTTTTAATGATTTCTGGAAATTATAAAACTCTCCACATTGAAAACTAGAAATTTCAAATAAAATTAAAATGCGTGATGATTCACTAAGCTAGTTGGACAGAGAATGTTAACCAACAATAATGTTGAAAATTGTAAGTATAATTACTATACAGGTCTTACTGTTACCTATTAAAACAAACACATGAATTCTACATAGACTTCGTCCGAGTAAAAAAAAAAAGTTTTATATCAATAACAAAATCCTTTTAAGGAAAAGGAAAATAGTACATAATAAAACTTATGACTTAAACACACACTATATCAGATTTATACTAACCAATTAGAGTTGTTATAATACCGAAACGGGTGAAATAAACAACATGAAATTTAGTATACAGTTAAATGAGTAATATTTACGGGCGTTAGTCACTTGGATGTAAATGTAATAAATGCGATAGAAAACTTTTATCAATAGCAAAATGCAAATTTAAAAGTAGTTATTCACCTAAGTTTATCATATACGTTTTTTAATCTCATACAATATAAGTGTTTTCTTTATATGAGTGGTAATGTCGCCTGTGAATATAAGTATCAAAGTCTTCCTGATCATTTCAACTACATTCTATGATAGAGATGAGTTTAACAAATTTCAATCAGAACCAGATCGGACCTTAATGTGTTTGAACATGATCGAATTAACACAGGTCGGACTTCAATTTCTTAGAAACATGGTCGAATCTGAAAATATTCCTTTATGCTAGAACTCGGACTTAATCAGATCTATACGATTTTGTTGCTGTTGTTTTCCTTGGACTCGAACCTGAAACTTTTTGAGAGACACTCGAGCCTGGATTTTCAAATCCGAACTCTGCAACTATAGGTGTATTGAGATAAAGCTGGCCTCGTACTTACATATTGCTGTTTTGATGTTTCCTAGCTTTTGTGAAACGATTTCTTATGAATCATTTGATAATCATTTTAAATTCAAGATTTAAATACGAACTGACGTAACACTTAAACAAAATTGATAATAATGAACCAAAAGCAAAAAACGCTCGCACACTGTTACAATTGTGAACAGATTTTTATTACATATTTGATATTATTCCGCTTATTTATTCTTCTGTTTTTAGTCATCTTTGCTTTCTTTTTTAACTATATATGTGTGTGTGTATAAATTTTAAATGTTAAGGCTTGACAAAGAGCGATTGTGCGAAAAATCGCCCGATAAAAGTTTTATACTTTGTTGATATTATTCATTTTATATTTTCTTGAACCTTCAGCAACTACCTTGGCTTTTTTTTTTTCAAACCTTGTATATACTAAAACTGGAAAAAGTGGGAACTGATTAACAGTTATATTAAATATTACGTGACTGAATTTGGTTAGGCTTATTATATCTGCAAATTGATTTATATTTTCTTTATGAAAGAATATCATGTTAAAGTGTTTATATGTTTGACGAACTACGAAATATCACGATCAGGTTGCTCATCAGGTTCCTGAAGTGAAATATATCAGGTTTGAAAGTGCTCATTTGCTTCATATAACAATTCGGTACAGTTTCAAAGAATACTTCCACTTGAAATGAGAAGTTCAGGTGCGTTTTTGTTAAGGCTCGTTTCATTTTTTTTCATTGCATTGAGATAGTCGAATTTCAGAAAAGTATGACCTGTGGTAAACGCAGTTGAGACATGTTTTCAATTTTACGCCATTATGCATTAGAACCTAATGGCTAATTTTAGTTTTTATGCAACTGTTAGGGGTTTGGTCGGTTTTATAAAATGTCATTTCTAGTTAGGGCACGTTTTTGAGAAGAAGGATATATGACGTTAAAACGACTTTTCTCATTAGAAGAAATAGCTTATAAATATATATTTTTGTTACTGAAAAGAAAAAACAAAGAAAAAACCAGCCAGATTGTGTTATTTATACATTTAATATATTATAAAAACATAAATATTAAATCTCGTTCTTTTTGAAATTATATTTTAAACTTTCTCAGATTATCCTCATTGCATAATTTCCTAATATAGCTAAGACTTTTTTTATCAGGCAAGCGGTAGCATTGCCTATGTATGGTTGGCTCAGATTTCTTTGTTTTTGTTTGTTTTTGAATTTCGCACAAAGCTACACGAAGGCTATCTGCGCTAGCCGTCCCTAATTTACCAGTCCTTCCCTCTAGTCTTACCAGCTAATCATCACCACCCACCGACCAACTCTTGGGCTACTCTTTTACCAACGAATAGAGGGATTAACCATCACATTACAACGCCCTCACGGCTGAAAGGGCGAGCCTGTTTGGTGAGACAGGGATTCGAACCCGCGACTTGCAGATTGCGAGTAGAGCGCCCTAATCATCTGACCATGCCGGGCCACGGATGGCTCAGATTATTCATCGAAATGGTATTTTGAATATCTCTCCAATAAGCCATTAGAACTTTATAATACTGGACAATGTTTCCTTTTATAACATTATCTATGTAATGACTGAGTCACAAGTTCTGGGAAAGTCTGTAAATATCATAACAAAAAGTTTGAATTTCTTGTTTTTTCACTGAGGTGACATAGTTTCAAATAGACTATCCGCTTTTATAAGTATTATTAATAACTTGTCGAAATTAAAAAAATCGTAATTATATTGTAAACGATGTTATCATTACTTCTTGAAGTTAGCTTTTTTACAGAAATTTGGTGTTCCTTTAACTAGCTTAATTACACGGTGAAACAGGAATTACCAGCCAATAAACAATAAATACTAAGGTTGGAATCTCATTGTATTTAGAACTTGTTTATAAATACAACCAGTCAATGTTTATTGAAACACTGCATAAAAAACAAGCAAACAAGTAAAGAAAAAAATTTTCAAAAAAGGAAGCAAATGTAGGGATGGTTAATACCAATCCTTCAAAAACAATACAAACAAGATAGTAGGGATGACATTCACATCATCCCTACATAGTAGCACAGGTAAGAATTAACGTATACCAATATATATATATATATATATATATATATAACTATCCAGTTACAATTG